GGCGGGAAGAGCGAGCCCGACGGCCGGGCGGCGGGTCCCCGCGGGCTCCGCTCTGCAAACTTAGCGGGCGCGGAGCAGCCGCGGAAGAAGAGAGGGCGAGCGAGTTGGGGAAGAGTTGTTTATTGTCGAGGGAGACGGGCCCGAGAGCTGCGTGCTCGCCGTCAGAACTTGGGGCTCCTTCGGGGGTCCCCGCGAGGAGGGTGGTCGGAGGGGGGAATGGGGGGGAAGGAAGTTCCAGGGTGCGGGAAAGCCATCTTGAGGGCAGAAGAAAGGTGAAAGGGAAAGAACAGAAAGTGAACTTTTTTTGCGAAGACTTTCAGGAAGAAGGTGGTTCGAGCATGTTGGGATTTTTTAGAGACCTACGTGTGCGCTAATTGAGATTTTTGACTAGGCTTGGAAGGCGTGTGTAACATTAGGGATGAAAGCTGAGTGAAATGGTTACTTTTTAGATAACCTGTGCTTGCAGAAGGTCCGCTGGCCTGAAGTCGGAGCACTGCAAGCCTGTGCTAGATGCAGTTTGCTACTATTGAGTTGGCAACCGCGTGTTTCGTCTCTTTTTGTGAATGGCAGTGAGGTTAGAAGTGATTCTCTTTGCTGGGGTCGGAAGACACCTCCGAGGCGCCCCGGCCGCCGTCTCGCTACTTTCTGGCTGGGGAAGGATCTGACGTCTCCTTCCCCCGCGCCTTCCTCTCCCTCCCCTACCAGAGACCTCCTTTGTTTATTCGTGGATGGCTTGTGGGTGACTCTCTCCAGGGCTGTGCTGAAATTTTGAGAGGTGGAAATACTGTGTCTGGGCCCATTGTTTTTTTTGCTCTAATCTCTTACTTTTACAGTTATATTTTAGTACCTATTTTTTTTCTCTATGAAATCTATAAACTCAAACTAGGTACAGAATTTTTTTCACTCCATATCAGTTTACACGCAAAAGAAGACTTTTGTTTTAACCTGTGCATGTTTTGTGAGGCTTATCTGTTAGCTGTTGCTGTTCTCACGTGAACGTTTTTTGACTTAACCTCACTTGGGTGTATGAAGTTCTTGGTGATGAGAATTAGGGTTTCATTATAGATAACCATCCCTTCCCATTTTAGTTGACCAAATTATCACATTAGATTCCATTTTCTGTTATGTTATCTGGTACCACTTTGCTTTTTTAATTTATATAAATGTTTGCTACATAATGACAAGTCTCTCAAAGTTTCGTCATGTCATAAATACTTTAATTTCTTTTTACAAAAATGTGTTAGTGACTAGATTCCAGAAAGTAATTGGAATGAAGTTAATAGAAGTCTAGCTATTTTAAGTAAAAGGGCTCCACCCTTTCCTCACAAACGTGTCTGATTGGCTGTATAGATTTCTACATATCCTAAGCAGGGCTTATCTTTTTTCTACAGGAGATGTTCTTACTTTGTTAATATTTTCCTTAGGCAAATCAAAGAGGGTCCCAGGAAATCTGTGAAGGTTGAAGAAAATTCTTCTGTGAATTTTTTATATTCAAGGAGGAATCAGTACTTAACATTCATCTTTTAAACTGAGAAGACATATTTTATTTTGAAACTTCTTGAGATTTACAATGAATGGACACAGTGATGAAGACAGTGTTAGAAACAGTAGTGGAGAGTCAAGGTAAGGAAACACTATTGTTTCTTGCAAGAAGAATTGAAAACCTCTATACCTTTTTTGTCTTCTAAAATTTCTGCTTATTTGAAGCTTTGTGAACATAGATTTTAATTATTTTGTAATAAAGATATGCAGGCAACTATTGGAAAATTTTGATTTACTTAAATCTATTTGCAGGTTTGTATTGGTGAGGTATTAACAAGCTGGAACAAGTAAAAAATTAACATTGGCTTTTAGTGAAATTGTCAAATAAATGCAATAAGAATTTCTGTGTGCATCTTTTCTCTGGCATTATGTCTTTAGCATCAGTGCTGTCCAGTGTGGTAGCCACCAGTCACATATGGCTCTTTAAATTAAGATTCAATGTACGCAGTATTCAAAATTTATTCTGTCACACCAGACACATTTCAAGTTATAAGTAATCCCACATGACTCTTATCTACTATATTGAACAAGATAGAAAACATTTTTGGTTGTTTGAGACAGGGTTTTGGTATGTCAACCAGGCTGGCCTTGAATTCACTATGTATCCCGTAGTGACCCTCCTACCTCAGCCTCTGGAGTCCTGGGATCACAGGTGTGTGCTACAACACCTGGCCTGCAAACATTTTTGTCACTCCATAAAGCTTGAGACAAATATGATTTGCAGCTTTACTTATCTATGGATAAGTAAAGTTTTTACTGGGACTGTGTCTTTTATCTTTCTGTCTTGACACCTTCCTACTATATAGTCCATGCTGACTTTTGGGTTAGCATCCTGCTTTAGCCTTCTGAGTAGCTGGAGTTATAGGTGTGCAGCACCATGCAGGGCAAGGACCACATCATTTCAAGGAAGCTATGTACTTGATGGGAATAAATTTTTTTGGGGGAACAAATTATTAAGCCATTTTTGTTTGCAAGAAAGCTTGTTTCCCTCTACAAACTTAAAATTATTCTGAAGCTGCCAGAATTGTGTTATCTATACATTAATCCATATTTATCTATCATATTTAGAAATCAGTAAACTGGGCATTGTTCTCAGATTTCCCCATTATCCTGGTTCTACCATGTATTAGCTATGTGAATGAGTAAATTACTTAATCTCTGATTGTTTTACTTCTGTAAAGTAGAAGTTTCACCATTATTTATCTTAAAATTGAGAATTAAATGCTACATGTAAAGGTTTCTGATACGATAAACTTTCAACAGCTGGGTATGATGATGTACATCTATAATACCAGCACTCAGGAGGCTGAGGCAGGAGAAATGGTGCAAGTTTGAGGCCAGTCTGGGCTACATAGTGGGTTTGAGGCTAGCTGGAACTACATAGCAGGACCTTGTCTCAGAAACAAGAAACCCAAAATTCAAGATTTGTTAATTGTAATCAACATCATGTTTTATGTAACATAGGCTACTATATAACAATTAAATTCTTTATAATAAAGGGGAAATGAGAGACACAGAAACAGGAAAGTTGACAAGGTTTAAGAAGAAAATGTTGAAAGGTGGGCATGGTAACACATACTTATAATCCCAGTTCTCTGGAAGCTGAGGCAGGAGGATCATTGTACATTGGAGGCCAGCCTGAGCTTTATAGTGAGTTCAAGGCCAGCCTGTATTACAAAATGAAACTTTGTCTCAAAAAACTATACATACACACAAAAAAATGTTGGGTAGAAAATTCTGTTGTGCTATGTTTTTGCTCTCAAACTTGGAAATCTTTGGCTGTGCTAGGTATAGCTGTGTTAGCTTTCACAGGCCAGCTGGATAGCAAGAGCTGTATACAGAATGAAGTAGGAGGCATTGTTTAGTTGCACTAGTCTTTAGAAGTTGCAGAGCCTGAGTTGACAGCATTTTTGCAGAACTAATTCTTTTATGATTTCCTCCACTAAAATAAGAATCGTTGAACTGATTTTAAAGTTTAATCCTGCCCTTTCATTGTAACATGTAAAAGTAAATATACTTTTTATAAAGGCAAAAATGCTGTACTATGATCACAAAGAGTGAGGTTTCTGAGTCTAAGCTTTGATTAAAATTTCTGTAGATGTACTCATTTTAATAAGTGCATAGAATACTGGCCACATTGTCTGCATTTTCTTACTGGGGAGCAAAGCCATGGCTAATAGAAGTAGCCAAATGAAACACAGGAAGCAGACTACTTGCAAAGTAGCCAGTGAGGTACACATTAATTCTCCCCCCCCCCCCCAACCAGGGATTGAACTCAGACTGTTGCGCTTGCCAAGGAAGCGCTTATTCCACTGAGCCATCTCCCCGGCTCCCCCACATTAATTCTTTGGGTCTGCAGGGAGATCACTTGTTGGTATATTCTGACCACTTATCCGTTCTAATAATCTTGGGTGTATTTTGCTGACATCGTTTGAGCAAGGAGAAGTAATGAACCCAATTTAAGTATAGGTGGAAAAAAATTAAATCCTGTAAAGTATTTATTTAAGTGAATTATTTTACAATGTGTACTTGTTTTTAATGATTACAAAACATATTTCCCTAATTACTTTTTGAGTCACTAATTGAAGCAAACAGGGTTTTGTTTACTTCTCACAGTATGGTTATTGAGTTACCTAGGTTTTGTAACTGCTTTGAATTTATCAGACAGACTTTCTTTTTGCTGTCATTTTCTTCCATATTACTGTTTTGATTTTTGCTTTGGTCTTGTTAACACTCGGTTCCATCCCCTCTCCCAAAAGTTTTCTTCATAAAGCAGCACAGAGGACAGATTGGCCTGGTTAAAACTTCTAGACAGCTATAACTGAATACAGAGTAATGAGATAAGAAATTGTCCTGTCTTTAAAGTTGTTACATACTGTCAATTTGATTTTTTTTTATTGGCTAGAACTTTAAAATTATTTTTGCTTCATACTTTCTTTTTTCCTTTGTGGAAGTTTATGAAATCAAGTAAAATTAAGCAGGATGTCAGTTGGTATTTTTGATTGGTACAGTTAAGTTTCTACTGAAAAAAGTCACTTTTCTTGGCTGTGTTGTAACTGACACATTTGATGCTTATTTACTAAGAAATGTGGGTCAGGATGCACCTGTAAAACAGTTTTAGTTCAACATAGTTTTATGTAATTGAAGTTAAGCCTTCTGCAGAAAATGTTGGAGGATTTCAAAGCATTAGCTTCCACCTGTGATTATTTGTATTATCTGTGAATGAGTTTTTAAAATCCTAATTAGACTGTATGTCAAAGTATAATGATTGATGATTAATTCCATTATAGATTTATGAGTAAATTATAAGGGTGTTCAAAATACAATGAATGTTTAATTTAAATGTTTAAACTCATCACAGTGAAAGATGCATGGGAAAGTAGGGTAGCTATTTTAGAGGCAAGAAGAATAATTGAGGGATATTAATGGCAGTGTGTCTTTCACTGTAATAAGGTTTTTTTTTGTTTTTGTTTTTGTCTTTTTGAGACAGTTATACTCTGCAGTTCAGGCTGGCTTTAAATTTACCTTGTAGCTCGGGCTGGCCTTGACACTTGCACTGATCCTTCTGTCTCAACTTCCTGAGCGCCTGGATCGCAGGCATGTGCCACCACTCCCGGCCTGCTGTAATAGTGTTTTTTAACATTCAATGTACATTTTATCATCCCTCATTGATCAATCATTTATGGCAATTCTTATCAAATGGAAACATTGTAACGTGTCTTCATCCACACGGCACCGTGCAACTTCTGGTTGTTCCCAAAAGTAAAAAATGACCATGAGAAGTACACATTTTGAATCTAGGCAGCTATCATAAAGCAACTAAAGACTCACAAAAGAAGGTTGCAGAACTAAAAGTGGCAAGAATGATAGGACAAGTTTATTTGAAGTTGAGAGCAGTATTTTGAGGATATATTTAATGGCAATGTGTATCCTTAATACATTAAAAAAATTAACATTCTTCAGTCATACCTCTTATCTGAAGTAGATGACCGTATTTTGCTTATTTTTATATGTTTTATACCTGCTTGCATGTAGATGAAATTTTCATTAGTTTTAAGTTTAGAGTAAGCTCTTTCACTATAACTTTTTATAGTGTGGGCAGTGTTTGATTTATGTTAACGTGTTTTAAATAGGCATATTTTATATTTAGATAGAGGAATCTGATGTACTAAATTTCCTTGGCTTATGGAAAATATTGTACTTATTGTTTTGTGCTTCAGATATTCTGTGTAGGTTTCAACTTTTTAAAAATGATGAGGCAGTGGTGTGGCAGACAGTGAGCAGGACATAAGATTATTGGAAACATTCTGGATGAGCTTCTGGTTTTGCTCATTACTCTGCTCTGCACAGTAGAAATTGTACATATATGTTTACTCATCACAGTCTCCCATAGCTGTTACTTGGTTACACAGAATATATTGTGGTCTCTGTGTGTGTGGATAGACCTGCAGTCCCAGCTTTTGGGGAGGCTGAGGCAGAAGGATCAGCAGTTCAGGCCCAGCCTAGGCAGTTTAGCAATTCAGTGAGACCTTGTCTTGAAAAATCTCAAAGTGAGCTGGGGATGTATTTTAGTGAAAAGTCCTTGGGTTCACTCCCTGTTATCACAAACACAGACATCTGTGCATGCATGTACAAACATAATACAAGATTATGTATTAGCTAAAAAGAAACAACTTTTAAATTACAAAGAAAACTCATCAAGCACTCTCATAGAATTACCAAGTTAAAATTTCCTCTAAACATAATTAAAATTATTAAAATTTGGGATATACTGCAATGCGATGATACATGCGTATAATACTAGTGCTTTGGGAAACAGTCAAAAGTATTTCTGATTTGAGACTAGCCTGGGCTACACAGAGAGACCCAGTCTTAAAAAAAATATCAGTTACTTTCTTACACTAAATGGAATAATTTTTTTAAAAGGCAATACCAGTTAAAGTAGTATTCCCTGATTTTTTTCCTTAGTCAATTTATTGCTGAGTTTCAAAAGACAGGCCCAGAAATACTCACAGGAAGACAGGAAAGAGGACATTACAGAGTTAAGATAGCTAAAGATAATTGAATTAAGGAAACTGAAA